TTTCTGTTGAATCCTCTTATCATTGTTTCGGAAATTTTTATAACCTCCTCTTTCTCGATTGGATTTGAATCTTTTTGCATCTCCGCCTCTCTCATTATTATTCTTCCGTTTCCAATTTTGTCTTCCAGTATTTTGGAGAGCTTTCGACCTTTTCATAGCGTTAGAACGTCCTCTCGCGAAACCACGGCTACACCCTCTACCTCTTTCACCATGGTATTGTTTTGTTTTCTTAAAAGGACAGTCGGCTGCTTTATGGTTGGTCACTTGCCCACACCCATAACATTTTTTTAGTCCTGTCCCTCTCTATGGACAATGAATTGCTATATGACCCAGATCATCACACTCATAACATCTGTCTAAGCAATCACGTCCTTGATGAGCTCGCATTACAGTTCCTGTGGTCTCAGACGCTGTTGCATGGTTTTTATTAGCTTCTACTCGTAATATGAAAAGTTTTAATTTTTCATAACTAAGCCCTTGACCAGTCGAAGACATTGTCATGAATTCAACTGATTGAACATCAGGAACGGTGGTCATAATAGCACTATAAAAGGCGTCTTTTTTTTCAAGTTCTGACAGTGGCTTAATACCAGACAAATTTCCGTAATTTCTAACGACATCTTCAAATTTTTCAATAAAATCTGAAGCTTTTTCTTTATTTGGAAAATATTGCATATTATGCAATAGTCTTCTGAGTATACTTATGATCTAAATGATTAATTAAAATGTCTCGAACTTTGAATTTATGTTTTTCAATAATATCAGTATCAAGATCTCTACGCGGAGCGCTAGTCGGATCAATTACATACAGTAATTCATGAGCTCTTAATTCCGATGTAAAAAGATCATAAAAATGTTCAAACTTTGTATTTGGTGTAAGTTTATAATCTCGTTTCATACCCCCATCTTTACTAATAATTTCTACTTTTAATGTTTCTTTAATTTTATTTGCTAAACTGTCAGAATTTTGAAATTCGCTAACACTTCTGTCTACTTTTAACTTTTTAAACTCTTGTTGTACTAATTTAGAAACTTGATTTTTCAATTCTCCAAGTTTACTACTAGAAGTACCACCGTTCGATCTGCTCTCATCTCTATCAACTAATTCTTGATAATGCTCATGCATTTTACTGCATTCATTATTCACATCTTTTATTTGCTTACGGATCTCATTATTTTTGTCTTCAAGGGTTTTTGTTTGTTTAACAAAAACATCTTTTTGTTTATTGAACTCGTCAATAATCAAACCTTGAATTGTTTCCATTTTAGCAACAGCTGCCTGAGCACCCAACAGAGATTCCTGGCATTGCTTCATCATATTGGTAGAGGATTCGCAAAATTGCCTCACCAGAGATAACACGTCGTCTTTATTAGTGTTACTCTCCACAATTTATGAAGCAGTACCAGGTAGCGCTTCAATTTCATTTTTTTTTGCAACTATATTAGAAACGGAAAAATGTTTTGATTTAATTATATAATTAAGATTAACTGATTCTATAAATTTAATTGATGGTAAAGATTTACCTCCTTGGGATAAGTCTGCTTTGTTTAACAGAGTACTTTCTTTGTCACATCTCTTTTTCTCGCATCTCTCTCTCTCGGCCTCATCTCCACGCTCAATCGCATCTCTTAATAATGTCTCCTCATCTTCCTGAGACACAGATTTTTGGTCATCATCTCCTGGTGAGACTACCCAAGGACCATCTCCTTCTTGTTTCTCAATCCACTTAATAGCGGCTCTCCACTCGTCCTCGTTCATATTGCTTTTATCTGTTAAACGAATTAAATTTTAATTAATAATATTCTTACACCAGAAGCTATGCCTTAAGCCTGGTTGACTGAACAACAAGTATGGCCAGGTTAAAGCAAGCAGTAATATATATAATCCGAACCCAAGATCATACATACAATCACTTCAGTAATTCAAGAAGTAAATGAATGCACAGCATCCATCACTAAGCATGAATCACAAAGTAAAACCTTGTATTTATTTTTGAACATACAAGTTAATTATTATTCATTATTGTCAAAAATTAATTTTGAATTAGATAACCTTAAGTGAGAAAATCCAAATAATTGGATTAATTCTCAATATTTTTATGTACATAAAATTTATGATTTTCAACCAACCTGCTTGATAAGGTACCTCACGCGTCTCAACATGAAATAACACTCTCTCACCACTAATACTTAGTGATATTTCCTTTCCAGGATGGTTTTGTTCAAATTGAAAAACTTTTCTGTATCTTTCCAAGAATTTTTTAAATAATTCCTCGTCTTTAATTTCTGCAGATAAATATATAGTTATTAATATTTTTATTAATTTGTGTGCACACTATTAAAATTGTAACTCTATACAACTCTAATTTATATTTATACATCAGTATAAAATTTCGTTAAATCAATTTAACTTTTCAGAATTTAATCTGATCAATAAACCGCGTCATTTGGATACAAGTTAAATATTTAAACGTTGGTTTAAATTTCTATTTAAACCAGTTTTAATCTTCATAAACGTATAAACGTATGAAGTCACTCTCAATATTTTTCTCAAAGTAAACATTGAGTAACAAAGGCGCATCTCAGTCTTTTCAAAATATCCAAAAACCTAACCATTGTTCGATGCTGTTACCATGTGCGCTTGGCCCCATGTGTAACGTTTCAGGTTACATAGTTATCAAAAGTAATAAAACTTGGTTTCAACACTTTTATATACAACATGTAACATGAACATTTTAACAGGCAAGGATTATTACAATATTCCTTCCTAGTTAAAAAATAAAAATTCTGCCAAATTTATAATTTAAAATTTTTTAATTACGTACGTGTTTTTCGCTTCTCAAAAATTCATGCTCATCTCTTAAATATTCTAACACATGTCAAATATAAAAATTTTCTTTCATATTACTTACGTTGACCGTTGTCATGGTCAAACTTTCCAACAGAAGACGCTTCTTCTGACATTTCTGCAATTTTTCAAAACTTGAATTGTTCAAAACTTCAAATCTTGATTATTCACTTCAGTTCACTTAAACAATTCACCTCACGTTAGTCACTTATGTTCTCGAGAACTTCGAAGTTTCTTATTAAATGTAATAATTTTTTATTGCTAAAAATTTTGAAAGTTTTTTAATTTATTAATTTTGCTCAGTGGACACGTGTCTGGATCATAACCAGTTAAAATTAAGTAGGGCCTTTTGAATAAACAATACCAATTAATAGTTAAGAGTATTTATTAATATGTGCATCCGCACGTTACCAAAACTCAATCGGAAGTAAGTGGTGGTACAGTTCTCAATTCTCATCTCAAGCAGGGATCATGATATCACATGACCTCCCCACTACTCATGGGGTAAGACGGTTAGGCGTTACTTCCAACAAAAATAGAATTTTATCTTAGATAGTTTCAGAAATTAAAAATTTGTTGTAGAAATCCTTTTTTTAATTTTTAGAAGTTAAAATTAGAATTTATTTTAGAATTTTTAGAAATTAATTCTTTAAAAATAGAATTTTATTTTAAGTGATTTCTTTATGGTAGAGATTATTTTAAGTAGGTTTAAGCCATAAAAATTTATGATGGAGATTTGATTTTAAACATATTTTTTTTAAAAGGTAATAAAAAAAAAGACCATTCGGCAGCCGAAATGGAAGTAGATTTCATCATGAATAGAAAAAAAAA